CACTACTCAAGTGCCCGACAGCCCTCATAGCGGTATTATTAAACTGGTTAAGCCCAATCTGGCTGACAGATTCATTGAATGGAAGTCTGTCAGCGGGAGAGTAGCAATTCTCTGACTGAAGCGACAACTGGTTAATACATTCACCTTGCCGCAGGACTATGCAACAAATCTGAAGGGAGAATGTGACTCATTCTTTCAGGAGTTTGAGTTGCTCAGTACGAGCTACTGAGTAAGGAGTTTCACATTCTAATGGGCGACGTTAATGCGCCTGTCGGAGTAGACACTGAAACAGTGGAAAGGGATGATTGGAAAAAACGCCATAGCGACCTCAAAAATAACGTCATAAAGTTGCTGCGGTTTTGTGCACACAACGAACTGTCCATTATGAACACTTTCCTTGAGCATCGAAGCGTGTAACAGTATACACGGTACAGCGAAGCTTGTGCACAGAATTCAATGACCGACTTGATAATCGTATAGTCTGATTTATGACGCTCTGTAATGAATGTTCGTGTCAAAACAGGCGTAGATCTGTCAACCGATCATCAGATTGTTATTGACACGCTACGCTGTAAGAAATGGATAACGATACGACGATCTGGTGGCAGAAACAACCAAAGAATCAAACGGGAAACACTAATTCGGCGGAAACCAGAGCAAAACTTGCAAAGAACATTGCACGACGGCTTGATCAGATTCCGGTGGTGACCCCGACGTGCAAACTGAGTGGCAACTCTCTAAGAGCGGTATCCTCGAGGCTGCAGCGAATGCTGTGGATTCAAACGGGTTGGTCTGTCGCCTAGAGGTCAGAAAAGAACTTCCTGCTGGACACGAGAGGAACAGCCGCCAGTTAAAAAGAGAAGGCTGCATTCAAGAAACTGCTTGGAAGCAAAAAGCTTTCTACTCTCATGCGATATGTCGAAGCACGCAAAGCAGCAGCGAAAGCAGTGGCGAATGCCAAAGCTGATTCCTAAAAGCTTGGTGAGGTGTTGGAGTCTAATTTCCAGGCGGCAAACAAGGTATTCTGGCAGACCATCTGCCGGCACCGAGATGAAAAGAAGGGCAATCTAAGAGTCTCAAAGGACGGGATTTTTTAATTGAAGATAAGGCTATTCTTCGGCGATGGAGAGAGCAATTTTATGAATTCCTTAACCATGAGCAACCGCAGGAATACTCGCATTTAAAGCAGAAGGGAATGTATACTACTACTGCTACAAATGAAATTACTGAAATTACACAATTGTGAAATACATGAAAAGCGGAAAGGCTGATGGAGTTCATGAAATCGGCACTGACATGCTCAAAAGATTAGGCCAAAAGGCATGTGCTGGATACACGTGTCTGTAAAACCGCAGTGGCTACTGGAAGACACTAGCGGACCGGATAGTAGGGGGTTGTTATAAACTTGTTCAAGAACGGAGATCATAGTAAGTGGTCCAGTTATCGGGACATTACCTTACTAAGCCTCCCGGGAAAAGTCTAGGCAAAGGTGCTAGAAATGTGCCGCGGAATAACTGACTCCAAAACACAAGAAGAGTAGTATGGCTTCCGGATCGGTCGAAGCAAATCTGACAAATATTCGCTCTACGTCAGACGTTAGGAAATCGTGGGAGTTCACCAATTCAGTGTACATGTGCTTGTTGACCAAGAGCAAGACTATGACCGGATCTCGCACAACTGTCTGTGTGCGTGCCTGCGAACGTATGGTATCGACCGTCAGGTTGCTACGGGTCATCGAATCGCTATATGCTGATGGCAGGTGCTGCATCAGAGTAAATATCGTAAAGTCAAAGCCTTTCAGCGCTAGCACTGGTCTACGGCAACGCTGCGTTGTGTCCCTCTCCTGTTTGTGTTGTACATGGGCAGAAAAATCAGGCGTAGCCAAGGTGATGAGTGCATCGATGCAGGAGATGTCGAGACGAGAAGGCGGCTGACTGCAAACGACCTCATTTTATTGGCATCTTCTGAAAGTGACCAACAGTGCTCTCTGAAAACGATCGCAGGCGAGTGCGACATGGCCGGCATGCGTGTGAATGCATCTAGAACGAAAAGCTTTCTCGTTCTCATTCTCCTGCCCGTTGCTCTCTTAAGATTAACGGAGGGAGTGGAGAAAATCAAGTACTTGGTAGTCGTGCTTAACTGTGACAGAAAATTTGACAAAGAGATCGACGGGAGGATTGGAGTAGCTACTGGCGTTCTGCGTGAATTAGTCCGAACCATTATGACTAAAACAGAGTTGAGTCTGAAGATCAAGAGCTCTGTATTCAAGTCGATCATCATCCTCATGCGTACCTAGGTCATGAGTCATAAACCATAACTGAAAAACTTCGATCCGGGATACAAGCGGCTGAAATGGGCTTTCTGAGATGAGTCACAACATGGTCCGGAAAACAGATATCTGCGAGAGCCTTGGTGTACAGCCGCTGCTCCAAGGGAAAGTCAAGGCTGCGATGGTTTGAATGCTTCCAGGAAGAAAGGCGAAGCAACCATTTCTTGCAAAGCCGACCGACAGAAGACCTATGGGACAGCGAAGATTAACCTGTTGCAAATATATGTAATAAGTCTGCTGCAGACTTCAGTTGTCTTCTGCCGAAGCTCAGACTCTTGTAAAGGAATGGGAACATTGTAAGCACTACATGACATGCCTGCATCTGTGACCCGAAAGCGGAAGCGGCTATGGAAGATAAAGATAAGGTTAACGAAATATCTAAAAGTGCTGACAAACTTGACGCTCTATTACGTAATTCTCATGGGTTACATCATGTAACTGCAAGAAAAGCTTTGCATTGCGAAATACTGAAGGGAACACTATTGCTCAGGAAACACCTATCTATGCGTCTAATTAGACAAAACAGATGATCGTTTCCGAAAGTTTGTGTAATATCTAGAGAAAGTCTCTCCCATGGAAGTCAGACATGTGAAAAATGCTTAGGATCAAATAACATGCAACATGGACTCCTCCAACGGTTAAAACGCATCGGTAGCAGAAACGAAAGAAACTGCTTCAGCATGCATCGACGAAGCATTACTCATTCGGTGGTGCGATGAAATCTAGAAAGAATAAAAAATCTGGACGGATTGGATAAGTTACCCCGACCCTGTTGACAAGAAATCATTAAAGTTGCAGCACTAACGAAGGTCTACCTTACGGCTCGAACGCTAGTAGCTGTGGTAGGACTCATTAACGCGACTCGAAGAAATCAAGTACATCGCTCTGCAAAATGTTCGTGATGTATGGACTGAAACGTAAGGTAGAATGGGACCGCGCAGTCGGTGGAACGCCATACTCAGAGCTGAGACATCCGGATCGGAGCCCAAGTAGTCACTCACCTTTCTTCCCCTCCGATGTTGCTAGTTCAGAACAACTCTGTGGTTAGGAAAGCTTCGTTGTAATAAACAGGAGATTATACACTATTTGCCACAGCGGCTGTCGACTGTGCCTTAAAAAACACTCCTGACTGATGGCACAGAAACTAGGATCAGTGCCCCACCATTTACTTCTTGAAAAAAGCCAGCACCTAAAATGGTTATAACATGAAAGTGTAAGAACGTCATTGTAACGGTAACAGAAATTTTTTTTTCCTGCGCCGTTTTTCACAAAGAAGAAAGAAAATTTAGTAACCACTCAGATGCTGATCTGTTTCAAATTTGCATTTTCATGAAGCACATACTTTCAGCACAGTCTTTTCATGGAGTCTACGACGCAATGCGTTGCTTCGCTGTCATCACTCACGAGTGCCCTATTTATGAAGGCCATAACGACGGCTAAATGATCAAAAGCTGCTTCCTGATCACGAAA